AATTGTAACTATTAGGGATGTGAACGAGTAGTAAAGCTATTGTAAAGTAATAATTTCCAAATTAAAGGAAATTTTAAGAAAAGTATGAACGAATTTTCCAGTCGACTAACAAAATCACGGAGTAGCATAATCATTCGTAACTTCTTTGTATCAAAGTAACAACATGTTCATCATTACCCTAAGATATGAAAAGTTTAGCTTAACATCATGTTAGAAATATTCAAGTGTGAATAACATTTGTAGCTAACTATTGAAAATAAACACGAGAAAAAGAGTATAGGAAGAAGAATTCTTATTCAGTTTTATGAACTTGAATCCTTGAACTCCTTGACAAGTTAATCTCTCTGATCAGCAAGGTGCAAGAGTGTCCCTTCACTTTCTTTTTTAAGCTTTCCTACTAAACTAAACTAAGAAACTAAAACTATCTTTTGTGATACTATAGTTAAAACTCTTGTTTCTCTTCTAATTTCTCCACCTATATCTTGTTATCATTTCATGTCTTGAATTCTTGAGATACAGGGGAATTTATAGGTGTTTAAGATGAAGAAATATCCTCTAAATATTTTCATAAATTTGCTTCACATTTCTACTAGTTTTCTTTGAGTAGCCGTAGCTGAAATTTGGTGCAGACATGAGCTAAAAATGGGTTCGAAAAGTTGTGAGAAAATTGAGCAAGTGACTATTCAAGTTGCAGCAACGACAAGAGGTTATGTGAGGTAGGTAGGTCACATAACGGCCCCCCGTAACTGCTTCTCTACAAGTTTGGCACATTTTTGATGATTCTAGAAATTGTTCTATTTTTGCACCAATTGGACAACAAATTTCTTGATGATAGAAACCAAACTAACTCTTTTACCACTCATGAAAGTTGTAGCCCATTGAGTTATCTTTTCAATGCATCAAGAATCAACTCATTTGGTGTCGTGTAGACAGAGAAATGATAAAATACCACTGAAAAAGAAACCCTTGTTTTAGCTTTTGCTGTGAAAATACATGACTGTATTTCAATTTTTTAGCCATAAAATGGCATGAAATGTGTGGCGACCCCACTTCCCCCTAAGGCGAACCAAAGGGTTGGCGGACCGTCTGCCCAGCTCTCGCCAGGACTCACGCAAGCATTCTAGCTTAAAATCCTCCAGGGATTAACCTCAACTACTACAAAAATAATTCTTCCGAAATAAATCAATTTCTATCACCTCATTAGCTTCAAAGATAACGGCATACAACTTAGCCAAACGACGGCTCTTAACCACTTCACACGTTACTCGCAAGGTTAAAGACATACTTTACTAATAAAAACATACAAACTGAATATTAGAATTTGGGATTACATTTTTCCAGCTTCAAGTGGCAACCAAAATAAAAGGTACAGTACTTAACGTAGAATTCATTACAAACCGAAATCTAAATTCAAGCTATTCAAATACATTCATAGGAAATATAAGCAGCTCAAATTCTTTCAACTTCCAGACCTGTAAGGAAAACAAATAAACGTGGGGTGAGCTAAAGCTCAGTGGTGCCCCAAAACATGCATTCACATAAATCAAACAGCGAGAAATAACTTAAACAAATTGAACAGTTAGGAAAGCGTATAACAACACAAGGTAGGATACAAGGGCTCTCAGGAGCCATTTTCCTCGCTTGATCGCCATTCATCGTAGTTGACCCTCCGTCAACTCTCACTACTTATAGTCCATGTAGATCCACTCATTTTAATCCTAACCCGTCACCATTCATACCGCGGTCCCGGGCCTGAACGTCGACTAAGGACGCAGTATACTCGAGATATACCCGTAGATAATTTGTCGAGGGATTCACCCAACGACGTTATTGTAGTTAGATTCACGTGCTGAGGGATTCACCCAACGACGTAACTACATTTGGATTCAAGGATTCATGAGAAAAATGATTCACGCAAGTCACCACTCGAACAGCTAGTGCGATAAAGTACACACTGCTCACTTCGATGGATCAAAAACTAGTTTTGCAAATTATCACATATCGAGTCAAGAAAGCACTTTAACCAAGTAAGCATAGAACAGGCAGGGACACTCACCAAGAGTGGAGTTCAGATATCAAGTTGAGAATCGAATTCCGCGTCCTCGTAAAATCCTAAAAACCAAATTTTGAAACTATAAGTTTCTATTCAGTTTTTTTTTAAGCTTATACATGCAGAGGTATACTTAATATATTACTAGTTTACTACCCTTAGAAAAATTAGGAATCTACTTAGGTTGAAATTTGACAAACTTAGAAGAAATGTTTCTTATAGTTTTCCGTAAGATACTCTTCCTTATAAAGGGTAACTAGTATCATTTTCTTGAAATAAGTCGGCAAAACTCTTAACAACAATGTTAGAAAGTTACTTTGAACATTTCTCTAAAGTTACGGCTTTTGCAAAAATTATCCTTAAAAACTATTTTTCTTAAAATAGGGTTTCTTGCCGAGCAAGTCTCCCAAGCTTTTCACTAAAATTAGTAAAGCTCGTATTTTGGAACTTTTCCTATAGTTAACTATCCAAGTGCAAGGCTTAAGGAAAGAAAAGGAATTAAAATAAGACTTAAAGTTTTCAAAAGCTATAGAACTTATGTACTATAGCTATCAAGGCTAGATTGAGCTAAAGAAAATTATCGAGTTGGAAAGTTTTAGGCAAAACACTAGATATGGAGTTTTATAATATAATACTAGCTGGAAAATATTTTTGATTAATTTTGATCGCAGCTACTCGAGTTCGCAAGATCGATACAACTTCCACAGCTCCGATTCCGTTTCGAAATCATAATATGGATCAAAATATGGCAAAAATTCACATAGCAAATTACTAGGGCTTCGTCAATCATTAGCCCTAGATTTCAACAAGTGCATTTCTGAATAAAATAAAATGATCAACCAAGGCTTCATCAATCATTAGCACTTGGTCTCAGCAAGCCCATCATAAGCCAATAAAAATAAAAGTAAAGCCTCCAAGACATTCCAGCAATTAACTTTCATCACCCTGTAGTACTTATAAAATTATTCAATATTTTCTGCTCAAACGTTTGGTTAGCTAAGTTTTCCAGCAACCATTTATCTTGTATAAAATTCTTCCTTGTCTTATTCAGGGATTTAAATACTCAAATTCAACATACAACTACTTAACTAACTGTCTAACATTTTTGGTTCAAGAATTAAATTCGAACAACAACAAGAGTCTTCAAATTAAATTCCAGCTAGCCTCGGTTGTAATCTGCACAGAAACTGATTGCATTTTTCTTTTTGTTTTCTATTCTAACTCAACCAATTAATTACATGCGTAGCTTAATCATCTTGTAATTTACTAGTTAGTCATGGTTAGAGGCTTAAAACAGCAAGATTATTCCACATGAAACTATATTATTCAAAACAACTCTCGGCAGAAATTTTCTTCATCGAAACAGAATTTTCCTAAGCTCCTTAGTTCATCATCCAATTTTTTTTTCAGTTAAAACCTTGTATTTTGCCCTTAATTCTCACATGCATAATTACTGAGTTAATTAACTATCATTCCAGACCTGAAATCAGTTCGGCAACAGCAATATACATACATAACTCCAGAATTTTGTGCAACTTCTACTCGGTGAGCCTGCATGTGAAGAATTCTGTTTCATTTTTATTTTCCAGAGTAATCCAGGCTAATTAATTTCATGCATGACTTTATCATCTTGTTTTCAGGTGATTAAACACAATTCCACCTCTGATCATCCCACAATTTACGAATTACAGCTACAACATTCAAGCTCAAGCTCACGGCAGTACCATTTTCTCTTCCAAACCAGTTTCTGGTAGCTTAATATCAAATCATCATATAGCTAATTACATCATCCGAACTTAAAGTCCTCACATGCAAGTCCAGAGCTTGCTTATACTACCACTGGTTATCCATTTTCAGTCCAGAAATTTACCTCACTGGAATCTCACTCACACGACAAAGTGCTGAAGTCAGTCCCTCTCTCTCGGCTCTTGTCCTCTCGCACAGGTATGTTGGTTCTGGTTGGGGTGTAGCGGTTTCAGCTGGTGGTGGTGGAGGCTGGATGGCAACCGGCTGAGCTTGGAGAATGCAGAGGAAGTTTGCTCACGGTTTCTCCTCCTCTCCTCCCTCTTCGATGCTCGCGGACAGAACCAGAAATGGAATTGCAGCTCTCAGCTTCCTCCCTCACTCTCGGCTATATGGTGCAGCTCACCTTCCTTCACTCTCGATCGATGATAACAATGTGGAGGTGGAGTGTTTGGGAGGTTCAAGTGTGCAGGTGGTGAAGATGAGCATTGGCCGAATGGAGAGGTGAGTGATCATGGTGTCCGAGGGAGTGTTTGGCGTTGCGTGGAATGGTTATGGCTGTGGGGTGTTTTTGTGAAATTGTGAGGGGTAGTTTAGTCTTTTCACTTCTCCTCCTATTATCCACTTAAGTCCTTAGCTCTAACTTAACTCCAAAAAATTATCCCCAAGTGTGATTTGAACGCCTAATTATACGCTAATCTTGCAAGGCTTTGATTATCGAAATTTTTTTTTTTACGACTTAAGTATGATTAGAATACTTGTATTGTTTTTATCTAGAATTTATCGGTTGCAAAATAATATTAAGGTTTCTATCTGCACTTAACCTTATTCGAAAATAAAATTAGCTATTGAAAATTAAAGAATTATTTTTAAGGAGTAAACTTAATATAACTCAAGAATTATTAACTTAGTGAAGCAAAGCTAAGTGCTTTAATAGTTAGCACCGTTATATTATTTTGCACATAAAAGTTATTTTTAATTTACTTATTTAAAGCAAATGAAATAATGTTATTGATTAGAATAAGAACTACGAATGGAATATGCACTAGTATATAAAAGCGAGTGAAAGTAATACTAGAAAAGATTAAGGAATACGGATGTTAGATAAAGGTGAAATTGAAGTATGCATTGGTATTTATCTGCAAAATTCAAGGTTCTCACATCCTCCCCTCCTTACAATGAATTTTGTCCTCAAAATTCAAGCTTACTAGAGAAATAAATCAGGGTACTTGTTCTGCATTTCTTCTTCTAATTCCCAAGTCGCTTCCTCCAGTCCATGATTCTTCCATAGAATCTTTACCAGAGGAATTTCCTTATTTCTCAGTTCCTTCATTTCTCTCTCCAAAATCCTGACCGGTCCTTCTTCATACGTTAATGTCTCATCCACCTCAATTCCTTCTAGTGGCAACACGTGACTTGGATCAGGATAATATTTCCTAAGCATGGAAACATGGAATACATCGTGAATCTTAGCCATGCTTGCAGGCAACTTCACTTGATACGCTACTAACCCAACTCTCTTCAAAATTTCGAAAGGTCCGATATACCTTGGCTTCAGCTTCTTACCTTTCTTAGACACTACTCCGCCCTTCAAGGGTTTAATTCTGAGGAAAACCTTGTCTCCTACTTCGAATTCCAAATCTTTCCTCCTTGTGTCGGCGTAGCTCTTTTGTCTACTCTGAGCAACTTGAAGCCTTTCTCTAATTAGTTTTACTTTCTCCTGGGCTTCTTCTATCCAAGGTATAGCTGTAGGATCTACGATTTTCTTTTCTCCAACTTCATCCCAATGAATCGGAGATCGACACCTTCTTCCATACAAAGCCTCATAAGGTGCCATTTGAATCGAAGCCTGATAGCTGTTATTATATGCAAATTCCACTAAGGTCATATATTGGCTCCACTTACCTCCAAAATCCAGTATACACGACCTCAGTAGATCCTCCAGAGTTTGAATTGTCCTTTCCGACTGCCCGTCGGTTTGGGGATGGTACGCAGTACTAAACTTCAACTTGGTCCCCAAGGAGTCCTGAAATTTCTGCCAAAAACGCGAGACGAATCTTGGGTCTCGATCAGACACAATACTCACTGGAATACCATGTAACCTTAGGATCTCTTCTGTGTACAACTTGACCAATTTATCCAATGAAAAACTCATACTTACGGGTAAGAAGTGTGCAGACTTAGTGAGTCGATCGACTATTACCCAAATTGCATCAAAACCTTTTTGACTTTTAGGTAGTCCCGTTACAAAATCCATTGTTATGTGTTCCCATTTCCATTCAGGGATTTCTAACGGTTGCAATAAACCAGAAGGCTTTTGATGTTCAGCTTTTACTTGTTGGCAGATCAAGCATTTTTGCACAAACGCGGCCACGTCCTTTTTCAAACCTTCCCACCAGTATAATCCCTTCACATCGTGATACATCTTGGTCACTCCTGGGTGTATAGTATACTTCGATCGATGTGATTCTTCTAAAATCTCTTTCCTTATCTCTTTATCTGCCGGAATCACAATTCGATCTCGAAACCTCAATACCCCTTCAGGCCCTAATTTGAAGTCTAGGGTTTCCCCTTTTTGCACTTTCTCCAAATTCTTCCGAATTATAGGGTCCATTTTCTGGGCCTCCTTAATACGCTCTAGTAACGGTGACTTCAATGATAAGCTCCCAAATAAAACCTTCAATTTCTCCAAGCGAGGGTTCCAACTACTTATTTCCTCTAACATATCCCACTCTTTTACCATTAACCCTGCTACTTGGGCCTTCCTACTAAGAGCGTCAGCCACCACATTGGCTTTTCCTGGATGGTAATTAATCGAGCAATCATAATCTTCCAGAAATTCTACCCATCGCCTTTGTCTCAAATTCAGCTCCTTTTGGGAGAACAAGTACGTGAGGCTCTTATGGTCCGTATAAACTTCAAAAGTCACGCCGTACAAGTAGTGTCTCCATTTCTTCAAGGCGAAAATTACTGCGGCTAGTTCTAGGTCATGAGTTGGGTAGTTTTGTTCGTGGGGTTTCAATCTCCTAGAAGCATAGGCAACTACCTTACCCATTTGCATTAAGACACATCCCAGACCTTCTCTGGAAGCATCAGAATATACAACATAACCTTCACCTCCATCGGGTAAAACCAAAACGGGAGCGGATGTTAACCGCTTCTTTAGTTCTTGAAAACTTGACTCGCACTTCGGAGTCCAGACAAACTTGGCTCCTTTCTTGGTTAGCTCAGTCATAGGTCCTGCAATCTTCGAGAAATCCTGGATAAATCGCCTATAATAACCTGCTAAACCCAAGAAACTTCTAACTTCAGTTGGAGTTTCTGGTTGTTTCCAATTCATAATGGCCTCAACTTTTGCCGGATCCACGGCAATTCCATCTTCAGAAACTCTGTGCCCTAGAAAAGATATTTCAGTCAACCAAAACTCACACTTGCTGAATTTGGCATACAGCTTATGTTCTCTTAGTATCTGCAAAACCACCTCTAAATGCTTAGCATGCTCCTCTCGAGTCTTAGAGTAAATCAGGATATCATCTATGAAAACCACTACAAACTGATCCAGATACTTCTTAAAAATTCTCTGCATCAGGTCCATGAAAGCAGCTGGTGCATTGGTTAATCCAAAAGGCATGACTGCAAACTCAAAATGTCCATATCTCGTACTAAAAGTAGTCTTAGGTATATCTTCCTTCTTGATCTTCAACTGATAATACCCTTGCCTTAAATCCAGCTTAGAGAAGACCACTGACCCTTGCAGTTGGTCGAATAAGCTATCAATCAACGGTAGAGGGTATTTATTCTTAATTGTAACCTCATTTAACCCTCGGTAATCGATACATAACCTCAAGCTTCCATCTTTTTTCTTAACGAATAGGACGGGTGCTCCCCATGGTGAATCACCCTCCTTCACAAAGCCCTTCTCCAACAGATCCTGTAATTGAATTTTCAATTCTTTTAGCTCGGCAGGAGCCATTCGATATGGGGTCTTAGAAATTGGAGCCGTTCCAGGCATCAAGTCAATCTTAAATTCCACTTCTCTTTCCGGCGGTAGAGTCCTTAACTCTTCGGGAAAAACATCCGAAAATTCCCGTACCACTGGTACATCCTCCAGCTTCACTTGATCACTGGGGGCGTTTATCAAGAAGGCTAAGAAACCTTGCGCTCCTTTAAACAACATTTTCCTTGCTCGGATTCCTGAGATCATAGCAGATGATGCTAACCTACCCTTGACATCTAACCTCAGGGTTGCTTCACCAGGTATACAAAATTCCACCACTTTCGCTCGGCAGTCAAGTTTAGCATGATAATGGCCTAGAAAATCCATTCCTATTATAACATCATAACCTTTTATGTCCAGACTGATCAGATCCACTAGCATTTTACGCTCTCCAATCCAGAATTCACAATTCTTATAAGCCAAACTAGTGATTACATTCTTATTACCCATGGGTGTCCTAACTTCAAGATCGAAGGGTAATCTAACAGGTTGCACATCTATTCCAGACATAAAGGATGGATTTACGAATGAATGGGTTGCACCAGGGTCAATTAACACTTTAGCTAATCGATGAAAAATCGGAAGTGTACCTTCCACCACTTCCGAGGAATCAGGTACAGGTTGGTCACCTATAGCATACACTCTGGCAGGAACTGTCGGCCGGCTCCCTCCAGAAGTGTTTGATCTAGCGTTCGAAGTAGTCCCTCCCTGCATTTTTGGACATCCAGAAATTTGGTGCTCGCTACTTCCGCATTTCAAGCACTTTCCTTGATTCTTCCAGCAGCTATCCATAATATGACCAGGTTTCTTACAATATGCACAAGTCATTTGGGGAATTATGGCTCGGCCTCCTTGCGAGGTATTCCTAGGTTGTGCTCTTCCAATCGGTCCCCCTCTAATTCCATTGTTTCTTCCCCCTGCATTCCTTGCCCCGGTTCCCCTTGCTAATGCACCTCGCGGTGCTCCGGGACTAGTCACTCCACCTGTACCTCGGCCCACTTTAGCCGGTGGAGTACTTCCATACGTCGGCTCTCGACTACTGCTGGGGGCAAATCTTTTCTTAGCTTGAAAAGATTTCACTTGAGCTCTAGCTACTTCAACTCTCTGAGCTCTTTCGACAGCATCTGCGAAAGTATCTATCCTTACGGCGGCTAAACTTTCCTGTAGTTCCACATTCAAACCCTGCACAAACCTCCGAACACGCCTTTGCTCGGTGGCTATCAACTCAGGTGCAAAGCGGGATAGCTTTGTGAACTGGATTTCATATTCGGCGACACTCATCGCCCCTTGCTTGCATCTAATGAAATCATCCTCTCTCTTCTCTTGAATGAGAGGTGGAAGGAATTTGGCATTGAACTCCCTTGTGAAGTTCACCCAAGTCCTTGGTGTATGATTAGTCTCCCAATGAACCCTCATTAGGTTCCACCAGGAGCGAGCAGCTCCCTCAAACTGGAAGGTGGCAAAAGTCACCTTTCGCTCCTCCGTATAGTTTAAGGTGGCAAAGATCTCAGTGATCCTCTCCCACCAGCCTTCAGCCACTTCCGGCTCGGTCCTCCGTAGAATTTGGGAGGTCCAAACTTCAGGAACCTTTCCAGTGCCCGATCATCGGGATCAACTGGGCCTCCCTGATGACGCCCTGGTCCAGTGGCTTGGTTTTCAGTCAAGCGCTCTAGAACGTCAGTGATACGGTTAATAGCGGTGGCCACTCCGTCTCCGGCCCTGCCCTCTTGCCCTTGGTCTGGATTGACCTCGGGTCCCCTATCTCTACCCGCTTCCGGGTGTTGTCTAGTGGGTCTCCCGCGGCCCCTTCCTATTACTTGGCGATCCATAGTCTAAATTATGCCTATTATGGAAGGATAAGGCGATTAGGCAAAGTATTATTTATTTATGATTATTATCATTTCCTTAGTAAATAAAATCAATATGGAAATGGAGGAAAAAGTAAGTAAAATACTTAACATATATTTCTAAGTGAAAGTCATACAAATAATAAGTTGGGACATTTCCAAAAGTAAGGCACATGACTAGCAAAAATACATACAAATAGTCCCTTAAACAAAAATTAGGGATATAGTGCCTCCGAAGCAAGTCATCCACCTAGACAAAACTTGATGACCTAGCTAATGTCCCCCTATTCTAACCCTACATATCCAATATGGTCGAATCGATCCAAGCCTAACCCTCAGCAGGGCTATCGGGAGCTATGTCCTCCTCCGGATCCTCCTCCGGGTCCTCCTCCAGATCCTCTTCCGGGTCCTCCTGCTCAACACTCTGAAGGATACTCGTGGCCTCATCTATCATCATCACGGCATCAGCCCTGATACCGACACTCCTATCACGTATCCTTTCGGCCAATCGAGTCACCCTCGCTCTCTGACGCGCTATCTCTACGCGAGCAGCCTCCAGCCTAGCATGCTCCGCTGCTACCCTCTGCTCTAACTCCGCTATGCGGTCGAACTGAGTGTCCACCATGATACTCAGCTCCTCTGCGTCCTGAGACAAAGTGAAGTTAGCGTCCCTCAGCTGGCGACGCTCATCATCTAGGGATAGTACTAGCTCATTGGGGTAGGCATAAGTGGCCCTACACTGACACCGAGGATGCCTATTAGCTGGGGTGTAACGTATATGAGCTCCTCCGCCACGTGGCCTATAAGAGATGGACCTAAGAGGCTCTATATGTCCATGAGACGCCCCACTACCATTAGCATGCCCGTTACCATTCTCCATACTGCAAAAGAATTGAAACTTAGAGGTTAGAACTTAAATAGCTAATTAAATCGGCATTACTTAAGATGTATCTAATGGTCTCAATTCTTACTTCTAGAAGAATCAGGATTTCTAGCTCGTATAGTATATCTCTCAAATAACTTTTCTAACCTAGGCTCTGATACCACCTGTGGCGACCCCACTTCCCCTTAAGGCGAACCAAAGGGTTGGCGGGCCGTCTGCCCAGCTCTCGCTAGGACTCACGCAAGCATTCTAGCTTAAAATCCTCCAGGGATTAACCTAAACTACTACAAAAATAATTCTTCCGAAATAAATCAATTTCTATCACCTCATTAGCTTCAAAGATAACGGCATACAACTTAGCCAAACGACGGCTCTTAACCACTTCACACGTTACTCGCAAGGTTAAAGACATACTATACTAATAAAAACATACAAACCGAATATTAGAATTTGGGATTACATTTTTCCAGCTTCAAGTGGCAACCAAAATAAAAGGTACAGTACTTAACGTAGAATTCATTACAAACCGAAATCTAAATTCAAGCTATTCAAATACATTCATAGGAAATATAAGCAGCTCAAATTCTTTCAACTTCCAGACCTGTAAGGAAAACAAATAAACGTGGGGTGAGCTAAAGCTCAGTGGTGCCCCAAAACATGCATTCACATAAATCAAACAGCGAGAAATAACTTAAACAAATTGAACAGTTAGGAAAGCGTATAACAACACAAGGTAGGATACAAGGGCTCTCAGGAGCCATTTTCCTCGCTTGATCGCCATTCATCGTAGTTGACCCTCCGTCAACTCTCACTACTTATAGTCCATGTAGATCCACTCATTTTAATCCTAACCCGTCACCATTCATACCGCGGTCCCGGGCCTGAACGTCGACTAAGGACGCAGTATACTCGAGATATACCCGTAGATAATTTGTCGAGGGATTCACCCAACGACGTTATTGTAGTTAGATTCACGTGCTGAGGGATTCACCCAACGACGTAACTACATTTGGATTCAAGGATTCATGAGAAAAATGATTCACGCAAGTCACCACTCGAACAGCTAGTGCGATAAAGTACACACTGCTCACTTCGATGGATCAAAAACTAGTTTTGCAAATTATCACATATCGAGTCAAGAAAGCACTTTAACCAAGTAAGCATAGAACAGGCAGGGACACTCACCAAGAGTGGAGTTCAGATATCAAGTTGAGAATCGAATTCCGCGTCCTCGTAAAATCCTAAAAACCAAATTTTGAAACTATAAGTTTCTATTCAGTTTTTTTTTAAGCTTATACATGCAGAGGTATACTTAATATATTACTAGTTTACTACCCTTAGAAAAATTAGGAATCTACTTAGGTTGAAATTTGACAAACTTAGAAGAAATGTTTCTTATAGTTTTCCGTAAGATACTCTTCCTTATAAAGGGTAACTAGTATCATTTTCTTGAAATAAGTCGGCAAAACTCTTAACAACAATGTTAGAAAGTTACTTTGAACATTTCTCTAAAGTTACGGCTTTTGCAAAAATTATCCTTAAAAACTATTTTTCTTAAAATAGGGTTTCTTGCCGAGCAAGTCTCCCAAGCTTTTCACTAAAATTAGTAAAGCTCGTATTTTGGAACTTTTCCTATAGTTAACTATCCAAGTGCAAGGCTTAAGGAAAGAAAAGGAATTAAAATAAGACTTAAAGTTTTCAAAAGCTATAGAACTTATGTACTATAGCTATCAAGGCTAGATTGAGCTAAAGAAAATTATCGAGTTGGAAAGTTTTAGGCAAAACACTAGATATGGAGTTTTATAATATAATACTAGCTGGAAAATATTTTTGATTAATTTTGATCGCAGCTACTCGAGTTCGCAAGATCGATACAACTTCCACAGCTCCGATTCCGTTTCGAAATCATAATATGGATCAAAATATGGCAAAAATTCACATAGCAAATTACTAGGGCTTCGTCAATCATTAGCCCTAGATTTCAACAAGTGCATTTCTGAATAAAATAAAATGATCAACCAAGGCTTCATCAATCATTAGCACTTGGTCTCAGCAAGCCCATCATAAGCCAATAAAAATAAAAGTAAAGCCTCCAAGACATTCCAGCAATTAACTTTCATCACCCTGTAGTACTTATAAAATTATTCAATATTTTCTGCTCAAACGTTTGGTTAGCTAAGTTTTCCAGCAACCATTTATCTTGTATAAAATTCTTCCTTGTCTTATTCAGGGATTTAAATACTCAAATTCAACATACAACTACTTAACTAACTGTCTAACATTTTTGGTTCAAGAATTAAATTCGAACAACAACAAGAGTCTTCAAATTAAATTCCAGCTAGCCTCGGTTGTAATCTGCACAGAAACTGATTGCATTTTTCTTTTTGTTTTCTATTCTAACTCAACCAATTAATTACATGCGTAGCTTAATCATCTTGTAATTTACTAGTTAGTCATGGTTAGAGGCTTAAAACAGCAAGATTATTCCACATGAAACTATATTATTCAAAACAACTCTCGGCAGAAATTTTCTTCATCGAAACAGAATTTTCCTAAGCTCCTTAGTTCATCATCCAATTTTTTTTTCAGTTAAAACCTTGTATTTTGCCCTTAATTCTCACATGCATAATTACTGAGTTAATTAACTATCATTCCAGACTAGAAATCAGTTCGGCAACAGCAATATACATACATAACTCCAGAATTTTGTGCAACTTCTACTCGGTGAGCCTGCATGTGAAGAATTCTGTTTCATTTTTATTTTCCAGAGTAATCCAGGCTAATTAATTTCATGCATGACTTTATCATCTTGTTTTCAGGTGATTAAACACAATTCCACCTCTGATCATCCCACAATTTACGAATTACAGCTACAACATTCAAGCTCAAGCTCACGGCAGTACCATTTTCTCTTCCAAACCAGTTTCTGGTAGCTTAATATCAAATCATCATATAGCTAATTACATCATCCGAACTTAAAGTCCTCACATGCAAGTCCAGAGCTTGCTTATACTACCACTGGTTATCCATTTTCAGTCCAGAAATTTACCTCACTGGAATCTCACTCACACGACAAAGTGCTGAAGTCAGTCACTCTCTCTCGGCTCTTGTCCTCTCGCACAGGTATGTTGGTTCTGGTTGGGGTGTAGCGGTTTCAGTTGGTGGTGGTGGAGGCTGGATGGCAACCGGCTTTCCTTGGAGAATGCAGAGGAAGTTTGCTCACGGTTTCTCCTCCTCTCCTCCCTCTTCGATGCTCGCGGACAGAACCAGAAATGGAATTGCAGCTCTCAGCTTCCTCCCTCACTCTCGGCTATATGGTGCAGCTCACCTTCCTTCACTCTCGGTCGATGATAACAATGTGGAGGTGGAGTGTTTGGGAGGTTCAAGTGTGCAGGTGGTGAAGATGAGCATTGGCCGAATGGAGAGGTGAGTGATCATGGTGTCCGAGGGAGTGTTTGGCGTTGCGTGGAATGGTTATGGCTGTGGGGTGTTTTTGTGAAATTGTGAGGGGTAGTTTAGTCTTTTCACTTCTCCTCCTATTATCCACTTAA